GCGGGACAGGCACTGAGTTATAATTATAGAGAGGGAGGGTCCACAGACGGGTCCTGGGCTTTAGGAAACGCGCCTCCTCCAACCTCCACTGTGCTCCCCGCCAGGGGAAAGCCTCTAAGGAGAGAACCCCTGGACCCTCCAGGTCTTAATAACGTGGTTATCTCCTCTCCAGACACCAGTCGCCTCCCTCATGTGGTGAGGGTGGTCCCTCCGCCTTTAAGTTCTTGTTTATGCTTTATTCGTTTATATTAACTTTAAAAGATACCCTGTCTCTTCCTTGACTCACTGGCTGCTTCTGTTTATCACTGGAGTACACAGGCCACAGCGTCTCTTCCTCTCACCAAGATTAAGTTATCAAATGATTTCTGTCCATTGTGGCCCGAGCTTCCAGGGAGTAGATGACACCATCCTGAGCTGAAGGGACAGGAGATGAGCTTGTGCAATGCAAGCCCAGGCTCACTTTCTTGGGGTGGACTCCCAAGGGTGCTTTCCAGGGAGCAGAGGGATGGAAGAGGACCAGACAGATCTCCAACCTCCGCGGACCAGCTTCTAACAAAAACTCCCTCCCAAAAAGACCATGAAAGAGTACATAGGCACACACTTAAGTATAGTCGTTAAGACATCAACTGCAGAGTCTTGCAGGAGCATGCCTGAAATGAAATGTGTAGAAGCTAACGTTTGTTTTGCTAAGGGGCTCTTCCTTAAATCATAGTTCCTTGTCTTCCTTTTTGTTTATTTTGTTTTCTTTCAAGTGTAAGTTTGGAGGGTTTCCTATACTTTGATTCATTATTTAAGGACTAGTGGCCCAGTGCACGAAATTCATGCATGGCAGCAGGGGGGTGTCCCACAGCCAGGCCTGCACCCTCTCCAACCTGGGACCCCTCAGGGGATGTCCAACCTTGTGGGATCCAGCCTAAACCGGCAGTCAGACATCCCTCTCACAATCCGGGACTGCTGGCTCCTAACCCCTCACCTGCCTGCCTGTTTGATCACCCCTACCCACTCTGCCTGACATCCCTCTCACAATTCGGGATCACTGGCTCCTAATTGCTCACCTGCCTGCCTGCCTAGCATGGTTGCTGCCCCCCCCCACCAGCCTGATCACCCCTAACTGCCTCTGCCTTGGCCCCACAACCATGGCTTTGTCTGGAAGGACATCCGGAAGGTCTCCCAGTCTAATTAACATATTACTCTTTTATTAGTATAGATTGCATCTTTAACTTCCAATAGCGAGATCTTGTGTTCACTCATGTGTTACCTGCTCTCTTATCAAAATCATATATACAGGACACTTACAGGTAACAGGGAGGATTAGGTTAATTAGTTATTAGTCGTAATTATAATTAGATCCAGCACAGAAGTATCTCTAAATGACTTTCAGCATTTTTGTAACCTATTATTGACTTACTATCTAGGAGTGATTTGCTGATTTTGTGCCTCCCTTCCTTATTCATTAAATAAATAATACTCATGTTCCATAAATAAACATTATATCAATTTACATTGATTGACAAGGACAAGAGTGTTAGAGTGGGTTCTAGGCCCAACTAACAGCTCTCTGACCTTGACAAGTCACTAAAACTCTATTTTGGTTTTCTCCTTATGAGAAGTTTCAGCTCTAAAATTCTCCCAAGTCTAAGTAATAACAAATACTATATTTAGCCATGACATTACAGTCGTCCTTTTTGTGTTAATTTCACAAAGTTCAGACATTTGTTATCACTGTACCTTCTGCCACCATAATGTGACTTTCATGAAACTTTATAGACACTTTTGGCCATGACCACAGAAAGAAATGTTTTTCCCATTGTAACCAAGTACAACTTTCATGATTCAGTACTTATATATGCAACATCCCTGATATTTTCTATCCTATTTGTTTCCTGGTTTTGGTTTATTTTCCCAAATACTGGTCTGGATCCACTTCATTTATTTCATAACCCAATGAGTCATGACCTTCATTTTGACATTGACTTGAGAGTATATAATAAGGTTTCTATTTCTTGGGTTCTAAATGAGTTGAGTTCTGCTTGATAAATAAGGATTCCCCAATATACTCAAAGACAAAGTTTCTCAAAGTATGTCCTGAAATGCTAAATGTTTTACAAATAATAATAATAAGCCTCTGACAGTCTACTAAAGTTTGTGAAGTACTCAGATAAACAAAATGAAACGAAGTTCTTTTTTTCAGAACTTCATAAAAACTTTAATATCCTAAGTGCATTGTGATTCTTCAAGAGGGACAGGTAGTGCACTTCGTCCTCACACTGATGTGACCAGATAGCTTTTGCCTCTCACTTTATCCGATGAGGAACACATTTGGGGAAATGCCGTTATAAAGACTATTACATTAAAATGAACTTTAAGTCAGATAGGTAAGATTCAAAACAGATTCAGCCTCAATTTTCTTGATTCTAAAATCGGTTTAATAATACTGTTTTTGTAAAATGTTCATAATCTACACTAATAATAGCCTAGGGCCATCACGACCAGAGGGTCGACCAAACGTGGAAGAAGGGTGGGGCGGGCGCTGCGAGGTTGTTAGCCTCCAGCCGGCTGGATGGAGGCCTAAGGACCTCACCTCTGCGTCCAAGGTTGACTCCAGCAGGGCCTGGGCTCTCCCCTCTGTGGACCAGAGCGGGAGGGCCTTGGTGGGGTCCCCTCTGTGGTGGTGTCCAGAGTCCCATTAGTGTTTCCTCGGGGTCCTCGCCTTGACTCTGGCAGGACCTGGGCCAGTCCTCTGCGTATCTGAGGCCCCGCTCCCTGTACCAAAGCCCCCGAGTCTCTGAGGCCCAGATGCAGGAATCGCCTATTGTGGATTCCCTCCTCCCCTGCACCCACCTCACCTCTCTGTGGCTCAGGAGGCTGAAGCCATGGAAGCGCATCCATCCACCTTGGAAGACCCGTCTTGGATGCGGTGTGTGTCCAGAGCCCACCCTGCCCCCGGGACCTGAACCACGAACAGGCCTGGGCCTGAACATGGACAACTTCCCTGCGCTGAGCTGCCCCTCCTGCAACACCCCCCACCCTTCCCCGAGCCAAGCTGCAGGGCCCGAGGGTGGCTGTGCCAGCCTGGCCCCTGAGACGTGGAGGTTCCTGGAGCTGAGAGGGGCCAGGAATGCGGCCCAGACCCGCGCCTCCAGGACCCGCAGTCACCTCAAGGGGAGGCCCAGGTGCCGTACCGCATGGCCCTGTGGCTCCTGAACCAGCCAGGAGGTGCCAGCTCCAGAGGGGACGCAGGGACACGGGCTCCTGGCTCCACACTGAGCCCAAGCCACCCGCACCAGCGCCAAGCACCCAGGCTGCACCCCAGGAAGCAGACAGAAGGCAGCCTACCAGCTCCCCTGGGGAGCCCGAGACTGCCCTGTAGTCAGCCCTGCTGCTTCTTTCTCTCCTGAGGGACACACAGACTTTCCTGGAACAAATCCCTCCCCAAGTGTAGTCAATAACATCCTAAGGTACTGACTTGGCTTTTGCATCTACTACTCATCTCTCTATTCTTTTCTGGAACCCGTGGACCATGATTAAACTACGGATCCCTTAAGAAAAAAGAAAAGAAAAGAAATTGCCTGTTGTAGTCATCCCGCCCTGGGTGGGATGATTCTGTTCTAGGGTCCAGGGTCCCTCCCACCTCCCTCATGTTCCTCACCTTGAGCCCTGGCAGGTCCCGGGATCCTCCCTCTGTTGACCCAAGGCCAGACTCCTCAGAACAGGGCCTCACTGCCCTGAGTCCTCTGCAGGAAGTCAGTTTACGTCACATCCGGTACCAAGCCCAGCAATTCCAAAGCCTGATGGCAGGGCCTGAGATGGATTTGTAGGGTCCTTTAGCCCTGCCTCTGATCCATACTTTGACAGGGCCTGCGCCTCCTTTCCTCTATGAACCTGAGTCTGCAATCCTCAGACCAAGGGTCCTACTACCTGAGTTCCCTGAGGAGGTGGGGGCGGGGGGTGTGTGCAGTTTTCAACATACAAACAGGAAGCCCAACTTTGGGAATTTAAATTCCTGCCTCATTCGCCTTATACTGTTAAACCCCAAATCTAGATACTATACCTACTAAGATCACCCCCAAGATTTTAAACAAAGCTAAGATAACCAGTTGGGCAACTCTACTCATTAAAGACAGCCTAAAAGCAATGCTTTCAACCTTGAAAACGGAAAGCTGGGGAGAGCCACATGGACAGTGGGAAAAGGGGGGTGAAATGGAAAATTTCTCTGGTAGTACTCAAGAAGTCACCCTAGCTGGTTTGGCTCAGCAGATAGAGCGTCGGCCTGTGTACTGAGGGGTCCCAGGTTCGATTCCAGTAGAGAGCATGTACCTGGGTTGCGGGCACATCCCCAGTATGGGGCGTGCAAGAGGCAGCTGAATCGATGTTTCTCTCTCATCGATGTTTCCAACTCTCTATCCCTCTCTGTCTCCCTTCCTCTCTGTAAAAAATCAATAAAATATATTTTTTTTAAAAAAGAAGTGAATGGTTTTCAAGGTGCATAAGAGCAACCTGAATTAGGGAAGCAGGATGATTCACATCTCCACAGAGACAGTCACATTACCTTGAAAAGATTTTAGGTAAATCTTATGAAAACTAGCTAATGGTGAAGGATGAGAAAGAACAATGAACCACTGAAATGGGTGGCCTAGGGAAACGTTTGGAGGAAGCATCACCTCCCTACCATGTGACCCATCAGAATTGAACATGGGGTCAATAAGTTTGAGAAGGCTTAGGAGTGCTAAAGAAATGCCCCCTTTCTCTTACCAAAGCGTCTCAGCCTCCTCACCCCTCCCCATGGAGGAAGTGTCAGGATGGTGCTTTATGATGTCTAAGTTTCTCTCCCAGAGCTACCATTAGCTGGAGGAGAGGATTTCTGATTAATTAAAGCCTAGGGGATGTGGCCCCTTTTTGTCCTAGAGAAAAGCATATGTTCA